CTGTATGCAGCTGCGTTATGACCCACGCTGCCACGTAGCTTGCAAATCTACCATACGTCTCTTGACGTGCTGTTTAGTTTAGTTGGATTGGAGCCTCCCTCCCAGCCCCCCTCAATTATTGTTCATAATTTCAACCTAAAAAAATCAAAGGCAAACAAAAAAAATAAAAATAAAAAAGTAATAAAAACAGCAATCGTAGCCACAAAAAAAAAAAGAAGGAAGAAGATTGGTCCAGATTTAAAGTTATAAAAACCGATCACCACACCAGTGATCGACAGATATATAGCAGCAGTTTGACTGTCGGGAGTAAGATAGAGAGGGAGGGAGGGAGGGAGAGAGAACAAAAAATAGGCACCGTCCCCACTGTCATGACATTCACATAAATACCATCATGATATGAAGCTCACCACTCATCTGTGCGTGTGGGAGAGAAGTCAGTCCGTCTCACGTGCTGGTTAATAAAAAAATATTTTCTTACAAATATTGCATTAATCAAATACTTACATCAGATGATGTGTTAATTTTGTCAGCTTCAAGGAGAAGGATTTCCACGCAATCATAGAAGGCATATGTATCAGATATTGTGTGATTGATCAAATTTATTCATTGTGTGTGTGTGTGTCTTCCGTTGTGCTCAAAAATTTGTTCGCTCCGTCACAGTTATCCGGCAACTTTTAGATAAATCAATTGATCAAGCGTACATGAATTCTAATGATATGGGTATATATACCTTTAAAGGTGGACCTATTTTATCGGCCTGCACTTCCCTAGGTTTCGTGGGAGTAGTTACGATCTGTCGAATGCTCATTGCTAAATCTACATCCTCCAAATTATCAATTATTAATTCACGCACTTATTGGAACTTTGGTGGCGTTTTTTTTTTTTCAAAGCTTTTCCCTTTACCTCCAACCGAAAATCAGGGTTTTTTTCTCAATTTATTGTCGTTTTTATCTGAAATGATTTTTTCAAATATATATTTGTTATTATTTTTCTATTTTCTGTTAGTATAAATGTAGTTAAAATTATATGAATTTACTTAACCAAGAGCAATTCAAAAATGATCCAACCATTGAATTTTAAATTAATTTCAATGACCTCCGGGTCTGATTTTAATGGATATAATGATTCACATATCTATATTAATATGTGATATTTTAATTTATAAGTAGACTGTTAACTTATATATCGATCCTCTTTTGCAAATATACTGTACTACGATGTGAGAAGAGGTTCCGTTGAAGCAATCACCGAATCAAATGAACAAACAAGCCGAGGCTTTTTAATTATGTCAGTTCGAGAAGCCGACCGAGTGTCCTTTGCTTGCGCATTAATTTTTTACTCTCTGAAGCTGAGAAGGAAATGAACAGGGAGATAATTAAGAAGATTCTAGGAGACTAAGACAGCCCGGCTTCTCTCTCTAAAATTATTGAATGCATATCCATCCAATAATTATATATATATATATATAAATAGTACTCGTGAATATTTTGTTGTCCCCCTATGGTCCATGATTTCCACACATAATAATCCAAACCAAAGCCACGGAGGCCCAGAGAGTTAAGACTCTCTCTTCCTTACTGTTTAATGCCTAATCGTGTTTGTTTCCCACCACGCATCCCAGCCCCTTTGCAAACAAAAAGAGATTTTCACTTGTCATTTTCCATAATCAATGCTGGAATCAGCCTCCTCTCGACGTGGCCTCAGATTATATATATAGCACATAACAGCACATCGATCGATCACTTGAGTGAGAGGCGAATCCCAGGAAGGAAGACGGAGAAGCAAAAAAATGGGCGTAGATGGCACCCTGGAATACCTGTCTGATTTACTCAGCAGCAGCAAGAAGAAGAAGAAGAAGAAGCAAACACAAACTGTAGCCCTGAAAATCAGAATGGACTGTGAAGGATGCGCTCGCAAGGTCAAGCACGTTCTTTCCGGCGTTAAAGGTATATCATATCTCCTTAAACTAATTAACAGCCGCCGCTTCAGTTTTGAGATATATTCTTCACTTGCAGCCTTGGATCGTACGAGTGTATACATATATGTGTGTGTGTGTGCAGGAGCTAAGTCGGTGGACGTGGACTTGAAGCAACAGAAAGCAACGGTGACGGGATATGTGGAGGCGAAGAAAGTGCTGAAGGCGGCACAGAGCACAAAGAAGAAGGTGGAGCTGTGGCCTTACGTGCCGTACACCGCGGTGGCTAACCCATATGTGGCTCAGGCCTACGATAAGAAAGCCCCTCCGAATATGGTGAGGCGCGTCCCTGACACTGCCACCATTTCTGAGACCACCGTCGACGATCGTTACGTCCAAATCTTCAGTGATGAGAACCCAAATGCTTGCTCCATCATGTAGCTTTACACGTACGTCTGCGTCTGCGTTTCTCTACATCTCTTTCAGCTCTACTATTAAATGAGTTGTGAATTAGGTGTGGCATATGTATGATGGCTGGGATTTTTGAAGTCATGAGTTTTAGGGATCCAAATAATTTTCCTGCAAACAGCCCAAAAGTCTTTTTCATTAATTAATTAATTAGCCTGTGTATAACCTGTGTTTATTTGCCCCTAAAAAAAAAAAAAGGACCTGTGCGTGTTGTTATATATGTCATGAATTTTCGCTCCTCTCTGAAGAGAAGTCCGGCTAATTAGTTAGTTCATTCATGATTCTTTACTCGTTCAATCAATCACGATAAATAAACTAAGAAAGCTATACATATGCATATACATGAGGAGGCGACTGAAACATAAAACAGAAAGATAAAAACTCCAAACAAATAATTCTAATTAATCAGGAGCACTCCAGCGATGGTGGGGACGTCGGCAAATGAATAAATTATCCGGCGATCTTATATATATTTTCCTGTAATTGACCTTCATAATCTGTTACGTGTATGGTACGACATTGAAAGGCATATGGCTATTTGGGAAAATCGTTAAGGACATCCCTCTCGGTTGAGTTGTGACCCTTACCAGAAAATATAATACTAATAATTGACGAGGAGGGAGGGGACCAATTTGGTTGGTTAATTTAATGGTCGAACTCACACTAGAATAAACCAAAAATTAATTCACAATAATTAAACAAACATTACCTAGTCTCCTCGTTGATTTTCCAACAAATTTAAATTTAAATGTCATCATCTGGGGATTATTCTCAAAATTTTCTTTTAATTTATATTTCCTTTTCATCTGAACTTCTTCAAGGTTCTAGTTAGTGGTGATTTAATTTCCATGATCATGAATATATGACGAACTTAAATATAGGAATACTTTTTATCAGACTCTGACCATGATGACACTTGAGAAGTTTGCCCTGTTTATTAAATAATATTATTCTTTGCAAATGGAAATTAGCATATAGAAGAGAGATATTGTTGTGCATTAGTAGTTATAAGCGAACTTGGTCAATTAGGCACGGTAATTCCCGCGAGGTTGGAGATCGATGAGTTAGCCAGAACAAATAAACTAAAATTTTTATAACCAACTTTTGACTCGTCGCTTGAGTTTTTTCCAACCCTATTAATGGGCCTGAACCCTTCGCGTACTCTGTTCGTTTATATTTATAATCAAGTTGAAACCGTGTGTTAAAACGACGGAGATAAGCATGGCGCGTTCTCTATGGATTTTGACCAAATGCTAGTTTTCCTATATTCACTTCCCTTCCCACATGCTGCATTTGCATTTCAATACATATAGCTACAGTTTATAATAGCTTCACATGGTATTTTAATGGGTTCGGCAAAACTTTTTCCCGCAGCACTGGAACTTTGCTTGGAGTATTTGCATGATTTTTTGCCCTGTTATTTTGGCCAATGATATTACATCAGTATAAAATGTAAAATTTATATATATAGTAAAAGTAATTAAAATTACTCATAAATTATAAACATTATTACAAAATAAGTTGCGTACGTGGACCTGTAAATGCCCATCTCTAGCCTTATATAAATTAAAACTAACAATGAACGGTTCGATTCTTAATGAAAACGATATGTAACGCGTGGTTCTTAAGGTAATTAAGCCGCGAATTTAAACATGATTTTGAAGCCGGGGGTCATTTATATTTAGTTGATTTCAATTTTTAATTAATTAATTACTTGAAATCAGAGTACGCAGGGAGACGTCGGGATATTTAATACATATATATGGTACTGACTTTAGTATTATTATAATTGGAGCTGTCAAGTATTAAGTATATTAACATAACAGAGCCATTCAGTTGTAGCAATAACACTTAAATTAACAAAAATAGGAAGCAGAACAAGAAGTAGCTAGTTAGGTAGAGAAGAGATAGAGTGGAAGATTGAAGGAGTAGTAGTGTTTTATTAAAACCAATAATTAAAATTGTGATGAGAGCATTAAGCAGCTGATGAGACTGATTCCTTCAAAAACCCTTCAATCTCTGAGCCTCCATTTTCTCATCTTCCACCCATTTATAACCATCCCCAACTCTCTCTCTCATATCCAACTGTCCCTCCTTTCAAGCTGCGTCATGCATGTCCCTCAACTCCTCATTTATATATTTTCCATTTCTTTAAAAAAGAAGGAGAGAGAGGGTCTTTTCGATTTCCTGCTGCAGATTCTGCAAATTTCCCTAATTAATTTGCATGCACAGAAATGGGTCGCGTTAAATTGGAGATTAAGAGAATAGATAACACCATAAATCGTCAGGTCACATTCTCCAAGCGCAGAAATGGCCTCATCAAGAAAGCCTACGAGTTATCCATTCTCTGCGACATTGATATTGCCCTCATCATGTTCTCTCCTTCCAACCGTGTCAGTCACTTCTCCGGCAGACGAAGGTTCTTTCTCCTCTGTTTCTTCCCATTTCTTATTCGCCCCATCCCTCTATCTTCATCATTTCCTTCTTCTTCTTCTTCTTCTTCTGCAATCTCTTATTTTTTTAATTATGTTAATTATGCTAAGAACAAGGAACACCCGGAAGCTTTGTGCATTGCATGAAATTTATCTTATACAAGAAAAAACAAGATCAATATATATATATATAGCAACGGGCACCAGTGTGTTGATGTTAATCATTTTCTTTGGAGACAAAATCTTCTCTGAAAAACCATTTCACCTCTTTGAGCTCCATCCTGCTGATTATTTCTCATAGAATACCTGTATCATTAGCATTGGCCAAATTTTATTTTTTAAAAAATAACCCAAAATGCGATAATTGTTCTTAACTTACAAGTAGCTAGAAATCCGAGTGAACTCCGATCCTACGGAATAGGATCTTGAGTGTTGACTCACATGTGATGATGAAAACCTTTGCCGTGAATTCGAAAGTCGTGGCACTTACAATTTTAAATTCATCTACGAATTGTAATAATAATGTTAATCCTTTTTTTCCCCATAATGTTAATTACTATGTCGATAGTTTCTTGTTATGCAGTATTTACCCCAATCATAATAGGATAAGAAATTGGTTTGCGAACTTTTAAAAAATATTAACTATCAAATCGTTCATTCATTTTTTCTGAACCAAAAAAAAAATCTCTCAGCAAATTCTTACTGAGTTTTGAACTTTAAAATTATTAAATTTTTGAAAATGTAAAATATTTTAGCGCTAACAAGCAATTGAACTAGGAAAAATTATATTCTACTGCTTGTTTATGTAGAACCGAAATAATTTGATAGCCTAAATTGTGGGACGGTGACCGCTATTCTTCTTCCCTTTTTTTTTTTTTTTGTTTCTACGTCAGTCTTAAAAAAGAATATTTTTAATGTAACACTGAATGATAAATGCTATCATCGTTTTATGATGCTTCATGCTGGGTATTTTGCTCTATTATTTACAAAAAATTTATTTTATTAATATTTTTGGTCATCACCAGAATTGAAGATGTATTCGCACGTTACATCAACCTACCAGATCAAGAAAGAGATGGGTATGTTTGTTCCTTTTTTATTTTTTTCTCCCCTTTTGAATAAAATACGTTTGTTCTTATTGTGCATATCAATATTTGGTATTGCCGGTGGGGTACTCCTCCATACATTCTGGCTTTTTAATCTGATTATTTAATAGTGTTGGGTTCCTTGCAGCGCTATAACTTTTCCAGAGCAACCCTACCGCAGGTATATTCTAACCCACTCTCTTGTTTAATTGTAGTCTTTGATTTTAAAAAAAAATAAATCAAATTAAGTTAATGGCATGTCATCTTATATGCATTATTTGTATACTTAATTTGAATGCATTTTTACTGCTTTTTTAACAGACACCCGTGGCCTATCATGATCATGTTTTAGTTAGTTAAGTACCTCACATTTCCCCGTCTCAAATGTATGCAGGAGTCTTCAGAACAAAGAGGTACTGCCATGCATATATTGGGCAATAACCACATGATCAACGGGTGTTGGCTGAGCAGTTGAGGGATAGTCAAAGGAGTTAGAGAATGATATTAAGGTTTTGCATCTCAATATACAATTTGAAAATGTTTGTGCATTTTGCAGCATCTGCTGAGGACCCTGGAACAACTGAAAAGTGAGAATGACATAGCTCTTCAGCTGGCCAAGTTCGTTATCTCCTCTTGTCACCTATAAATAATTAAACTAAACTTTCAAATCTCTCTCTCTCTCTCTCTCTGTGCTTTAATTCCGCGGTAAAATCATTATGGTCAATGTCTGATGGTGCCAAATCTTTGTTGCCTCTCTGCGATTGCAATTTGATCGAATGCTGCATGCACCATAGTCCGGGAGACATCAACTCGGAGATCGAAGTAAGAAAAGATAGCGATTCAGTGTATGTTGGTATTTATTATTTTGTTCTGTTGGTGGTGAATGAATGAGAGCTGTTTTATGTGATTCAGGAGCTGCAGCAGGAAGTGAGTGGGTTACAGCAACAGCTTCAAATGGCGGAAGAACAGCTACGGTTGGTTGAGTTTTGAGTTTTTACGTTCAATTATTGTAGGAGATCGACATATAACTGGGAATGAAATGGGGACATACAGGATATTTGAACCGGAGTTGTCGAAGATGACATCAGCGGGGGAGCTGGAATCCAGCGAGAAGCATCTGATGGAGACGCTGGCGCGAGTAATGCAGAGGAAGGTACGAATATATATACACATACGAATGTATGATACATGGGTGTGAGGAAGAAGGGGCATTATTAATTATTAATGTGATGCAAATATATATGGATGGGGTGCAGGAATATCTGATGAGCAACCACGTGTCGCTGGAGACGTCGCTGGAGAATGTGGGATGGTTGGGGGAGGCGGCCGACAACCATTCCCATATATTTGACGCTTCCGTGCCTCTGGATCCACTGTCGTCCACCGTGTACGACGCTTTCTCGCAGGGAGGCTCCACGTCCAACGGAACCGCCGATCCAAATCTGCAGGCCTGGCCTCAAGGCTACACTTTATATCCCTCCATCCAGGTACGTACGTCACTCGTCGGCCCTCCATGCATGCTTCCTCATTTGGTTCTGATGATGATGATGTACGCATTTGGTGGGCATGGTAGCAGCAGGAGATGCAGGAAATGATGCCGCCTCATGCGCAGCTCAACAATCTGCCCACCATCCCCGCCGACTTTGATTCCAAACCTCCCCAGTGACCCTCCTCCCTGTTCCCCTTTCACGCCCATCCAAAAACCAGCCCTCCTCTTTCTGCATCCTTCCTTCCTCTTTTCCCTTCTTCATTTAATCCTGACTTCATCCATCCATCCATCCATCCCTCATTGTGAATAAAGATTGTCATTAGTACCAACGTATTATGTTTTGCTAACAGAGTAATAACCTGTTCAAGAGTCACTCATGAATCCAACGCCCATAGCCCCATAGTGCAATCTCATCCCCGAATCATTTAATTGCTGCTTTTCGCGACGGCGCCTCCACCAACCCGGCTTCCCCCTCGCAATTTGGGTATGTTGCTTTTCTTTTTCTGTTCTTTTTTGTATTTTTCCCATCTTCGACTTTGTAATCTGTAACTATAAGGCCCATGAGGCAGCAGGCCCAAATCCTGTATTATTGGGCCATACGAACATACCACTAACGCAGCCCACTTAACTTTGACAAACGCGAGTGGCTTCACATCGGTCTCCTAACAGACTACAGTTGCTGATTTTCAGCCCCGACGAGTGGCTTGGGCCCAAGCAGCGGACAGAACTCACAACTTAAAATAATTTGAAAGTCGTAGCTGCAGCTAATGTTATTGTGCTTAAACAAATGCCTGACCTTTTTATTGGGCCAAAACAAATTGCCGAAACTGAAGGCGGCCTACGATGTGGGCAAGCCGAGCCCAAAAAAAAGTGTTCGGTGTGCCAGCCGGACGGAAGCGGGTCCATAAACCAAATTTTTTACTAGCGTTTTTTTAAAATATTATTTACACAGATCTTCCATAAATCATTTCTCTCTCGACTTTCGCGCCTGTCATGCATTTAAACTTCCCTCCCTGGGCCCCTAGACTGATTAATTGGAGTTCGGCAGCCCCGTTCATAACAGGAGTTTCTCCCAAGTCGAGCGTCTTATTATTATTATTTTTTTCCATATTCAAAGTATAGACATGACTTCTGTCCAAAAAAAATATATTATAGACATTAGTTTCTCCACTGAATCATATAATTTCTTTGGGAAAAATTGTGAAAAGTACATGATTTATTTTTAAAATACTTGCTCCCCGTTTTAATTTTACTTTACTAGATTGAAACATCTCCATTTAGCACATGCATATTTCGTTAAACTTAATTAACACAGAATCTACTCTTTTTGGTTGATTAAATGTAGAAGATTTTGATATATTCTAAAACTAAGACTGAGATTCTTTATTAAAACTCCGTGTTCCTTTTTATCAATGCAACACAGATGTTACGTTTTTTTTATAAAAAATCTAACTTGATGGGGGAAAATCTCACTACATAGAGCACATTTTTTTTAAACAAAAAAGGCCAGTGTATGGTGAAATCGGAAAAAAATCACACGACAGACACAATAATATAATGATGATTAAAAAAATGGGGCGTCGTGCATGGTGTGGTGAGTAAGAAAGGTGCTGGGTTTGTGAGAAAGGAAGGCAAGACTGGAATATGAATGCGGTGCTCAGTGCTCACGCAAGGAGGGAAAACGCCCTCGTCATCCCTTTTGATTGGCTGTGTCAACGTTACTGACAGTTATATATAGAATGCAACAACCCCATTATTGGTTGGCATAATTATTCCAAAAGAACGTAACTGTCAGCCAACAAAAATGAAAATAAAATAAAACTTGTGTTCATTTTTTCCCTTATTGAAATATCATTAGTTATTTGTTTGCCTTTATCTTCCCTACGTTAATTAACTTGGGTGCTTTCAAATAAACATGAACTAATAAACTCATAGGCAGCCTTTGTATGTACACCCGTGTATAGTATTATTTTCATTGCTTAATCTAAGAGTTAGTTAGAAGATTAAATTTAGTCCTAAATATAAAATTTCAATCAATTTTGCCTCTCAAATCTACAAGATTTTATCTAAAATTCACCAATTAATTATAAAAGATGCCACCAAAAGATAGTTCTAATACACATAATTTTAAAAAAAATTAATATATAAAAATCAACACATATTTGTTATAATTAACCAGCTTAATTAGTCATCTAGTGCATGGAGAGATCAAAAATTATAAGAGAAGTGATTATTTATAAATCTCGAACGCTTTGGAATAATTACAACAATGCTGAAATATGATCAGTAGAAGAGTCGTGATGAGGTCCAGTTGGAACAAGAGGCAGAAGTAATTTGGCAAGGTAGCTATACGCTACCTTTCTTCGTATACACGCTAGCTACTTGTAAGAAGGGAGAAGGGAGCTTCAAGTGCCCAAGACAAGAAAGGCCAACGAAGCAATTAATGAGTACATACAAAAAAGGTCGAAAGAGAAAGTGCGCCGTCCAATTAAGTCGAATACATACTCAAGTATAAGAAGGAAAGGAACCAAATGAATCAGATCCTCTATAATATAACTGTGGGATTTACTTATAATACTCCGGTTCTAAATGTAAGATCCTTATACACACTAGTATGAAAGTCTTATATTTATGGCTGGAGGAGTAATAATATAATAATAGAATACGCTACTGTGACAGAAATTTACTTATAATCTGCATCTCATCTTTATTCACTTGCTCCTTTATTTACAGAGAAATCAAATCCAAATTGTTATACGCGATAATTACAACTTTTTTTTGGGCAATATATTACTGTTCGTTCAGTTTTTTTTTAATATTTGTGCAGATTATAAATTTTTCTACGTGTATCATAACTTCTTCGCATATATAATCCTTCGAAATAAATATAGTTATTAAAATTTAATCATCAATATGTTGCCATTCTTACCGCATAATTAATTAAAAGCTCGACCAAATCGGACATTTGTTTTGTATAGATATTTGAATGAAAAAAGTAACTTTTCCTTGTTGCATTATTTCTCATGATTAACCACAAGCAGATTGTTTGAAAATAACAGTTAATTTTGCTGCATTCTTATTGTGAGCCTTAAAATTAAATAAGGAAGATTTTCATTCATTCATAGTTCAAACGAAGAATTTGAAGATTTAATTAATTATGACAACTTTTTAATTCATCTTCATGAGCACAGTAGAGAATAAGACTACCGGGTAAATTAGAAAACAACCACGAGACATGAATAAATCAAACCCGACCTGCATGTATTTTGTATGGACAGTTAGGTGCGGATTTTTGTAATTAAAAACTCAACTATTTGTTTTATCACCCTAAAACCTTGTTTCACCAAAAGCACAGATTATCGTGTTTGGTTAAACGTAACTTAGAATCAGAACACTTGCATTTGAGAGGAACTTTTCTTGCACGGCCACTTTAAATACTCCTCCCATTCCTATTTATAAGCTTTAAATATGAGAGGAAATTTGGTCCATTTTATACTAATAAACTTCAATTTAGGTTTATCTCTTAGTATTGAATATATATATATATATATTTTATTTTTCCTTCAATTATTTATTCTTTCTCTCTTAATATTTGTGTTTACCATACTAAATTTCTCGTATCACATTTTCACGCACATTCCTTTTTATTTTTTTTCTCATTTATTAATTATAAGAGCATATTTAACGATGAAAGTATATTTTTAACATATTTATTGTTTTTTACTAATTGTTCGTTATTTGTCAATTAGTATTTGAAGCTTATAATAATGAACCGAAGGAGTACATGATAAGGCAAAAATTAATAAAGTAATTTCTCATCATGCATCTAATTAGGGGTGAGCAAAACCGAACCGTAACCGAAAACCGAAAACCGAACCGAATTCAATTTCGGTTTTTCGGTTCGGTTATTTCGGTTTTCGATTATATATTCGGTTTTTATTTTTTAAATAATTCGGTTTCGGTGTTCGGTTCGGTTAGTAGGAAAAAATTTCGGTTATAACCGAATAACCGAAATAAATATATCATATATTTATATTTAATAAATATTATTATAATAAATATATATGTGGGTATATGTGAACTTTTTTAATATATTTATATTCAATAAATATAGTTATAACAAATATTATTATAATAAATCACATTGAATCATGAAATATTTATTAATTAATAGTTGTAATTGTGTTTTATTATTATTTTTAATTTAAAATCATTTTTCATATTTATATATTTCGGTTAATCGGTTAACCGAACCGAAATTTTCGGTTAATTCGGTTTCGGTTAGTTCGGTTAATCGGTTTCGGTTCGGTTTTTAAAATTTACTTTATTCGGTTATTCGGTTAGTTCGGTTATTACCGATAACCGAACCGAAAAACCGAATACTCACCCCTACATCTAATAAGTAACATCCCAATAAATTACTAAATTAACTGTTGATTTTATCATAGGCTTAATTGCAACATATTTAATGACTAGTTTTTTCTTTTTCTGAAAATACTGGCAAGGCAAACATGACTAAATCAAGTGGCGCAATCATTTCTGGTAAAAAAAAAAAAAGTGCCGAAATCGTGCAATTTTGAATAAAGTATCTTTATTTCTCATCACATATAAATAAAGAAGCCTGAAATTCCGGCAAAAGAAAAAATAAAAAGAAGCCTGAATTTAGTTAAGCTTGATAAAATTAACCTACGTAAAAAAAAAAGACTTTTCCTGACTCCACGTCAATTGGTCTCACGTGATAAGGTGCTTAAATTTTTAATTTATTAGAAAACGTGAAATTCCACTCCTTCCTCTTGTTCCTTTCTTGTCGCCCAGTCTCTACGGCGTTTTTTTGTCTCATCTGATCTGCTGCAGCTCTGTTTGTCTCTCGGTTGGTATTGTGTTTTGAGATTTTACTAAAGAATTAGTTAACTGTAGATTAAAAATAATTAAATTAGTTATTTATAATAAATATTTATTATTTTTTTAAAAAATATTTTTATTAATCATATGTATTAGCTAAAATTATTATTTGATAAAACATTTAACACATACAATTGCTACACGAACTACTTTAAAAAAATAAATAAATATAACGAATAAAGTGAATTGAAATTTTATATTTAAAATCAAATTGAATGTTAACTAATTTTTATATCAAATATTGAAGGTAGTAGTATTATATATGCGGCTCTACT